CCAGAAGAGTTGCATAGAGCTATGTTAGAATGTCTTGATAGATTTTACGAAGAACTAGAGCATCGCTACAAAGCAATGGATGATATTCTCATAACATTTGGTGTTGTTCAGTCTGAAACTCTACTTACGTCAACAGAAGAAGAACTTCGTGATAAAGTTCCAAATCTTACAAAAATCTGTGATGAATTTTCTGCAGAGGACATTATTTTGGAGATTTTACGACTGAGGCGCCACTTGGAAGCCGCCAGCATTTCTCTTCAAGAAGCGATCCAATGGACTACCTTGGAGCTTCTGAAATTTATTGTAAAATGGGACTATTCTGAGTCTGTTCCAAGTCTAGCTCTATGGTGCTGCGCACCGACCTCCCGAACGGCGTTAGCACAATATGCTACGCCGACGATACGCTGGTGCTAGCGCACGGGAGGTCACACCAGGCGGCGGCCGACTTAATGGCGACAGCGGTTGCGACAGTCGTTGAGAGAATCCGGCAGTTGGGACTCGAGGTGGCGCTCCACAAGTCCGAGGCCATGTGTTTTCATGGCCGCGGGAACGCGCCACCTCCGGGTGGGTCCCAAATAACGGCGGGAGGAGTTACCATCGGCGTCGAGACGACGATGAAGTACCTAGGACTCGTCCTCGACAGTCGGTGGAACTTCATTGAACACTTCCGACGTTTGGCTCCAAAGTTGGAGAGGACGGGGGCTGCGTTTAAACGCATCCTCCCCAACCTCGGGGGGCCAAACGCCTCCTGCCGGAGGTTATACGCCGGGGTCGTGCGGTCCATGGCCCTCTACGGCGCCCCTGTTTGGGCGCCAAACCTGTTGCGGCGTCCCGCTCGGACGCTGCTCATGGCACAGAGGGTCATGGCGATCCGAATGATCCGCGGATACCGCACGATCTCTGGGGAGTCGGCGAACCTCCTTGCCGGATTACCGCCGTGGGATCTGGAGGCGAAGGTGCTCGCGCGCGTGTACAGCATGCGCGCGGAGGCACGTCGCCGGGGCGAAAC